CGGCGCTCCAACGGATTCCACCACCTCGGTAGGTGGTTCTGTTTTCCTGCGCGGTATCGCCGGTAGGGACGGAACCGGGACGGATCCGGCACGCTCCCCAGATGTTGAGGTGGGATCGTGCCGGTTTGCTCCGCCCCCGTTCCGTCCCGCTCCCGGCCCAACTGGCCTCGTATGAACGGGGCCCATGTTAGTCTATTGCAGCAAAGTAAAGCAGAAATCAAGTGGCACTTTAAAGACTAACAAAGATCATCCCAGCATAAACGCTCATGAGTCAGACTTCACTTTAGATGCATATGAATAAATCCATAATCCTTTCCTAACACAGCAGGTTTTAGGAATCTAGCAGGGCACTCCTAGGAGTAATCCCCAATGAAAAGACGGAGAGGGATTCTGAATAGACTTATTTAGGATTGCTCTTTAAGGCTGCAATTTTATGCATACATACCTGGGTAGGCACCATCAAATGTTAAATGACTTACTTTTAAGTAAACATGCATGTGTTCTAGCTGCCTGTATGCTGCTTAATCTTCCATAGCTATGGAATATTTTAGTAGGATAAACACAGAAGATAAAAATGCGCTAAATGTTCCATTCTTATGCAAAGGAAGGTACATGGGTTTTAACATAATCCATTCTGTTCTTGAATGTTTGTTTCAGAATAATACCTCTTAACCATTAGGATCCTATATAATCTAAAGCCAAGAACGTTAGTTAAAGAAAGGAGCATATTCTTCCATGCTTACTGATGACTTATTCCAAAACAATGTGTCAGCACTTAGCCAAAAAAGTGCAGTCTGTACTCTGAAGTTTAAGTTCAACCTCAGCTCAATCCAAGAACAATAAATAATTGTGTTCCCACTACAGTACACATAGGACATCTTTTCCCAGTATTTTCTTGTGCTATACCCTTAAAGTGCCATTTTGGAAGAAAAGCACTTGGAAAAGACCGTTCCCCGTTTTTTATCATTATCTGCTCTATATTAGCTCACTTTTTCTTCTCCATTTTCTGCCAGGTGATGTTTCTATCAAACTCTTTTTTTTAGATTCCTCATTTAACTTTTCTATTTTAAATGAATTTATTTAAGCAACACATCTGTTTGATTTTTTCCACTAGAATGTTGGAGAGTTTGAACAGGCAAGGTCCTCAGTTGTATGTTAACAGACTTCCATTATGCGAAGATCTGGCCAACTGTTTCCTTACTGTAGACTGGCCAGTAGGGCAATAATATGTGTTCCTCAGAGTTACAGCTATATAAACTGTAGCTGATATACAAAGGGTTGGGAAATACCTGGAGATTTATGGGGTGGAGCCTGGGGAGGTCAGGATTTGGGGAGAGGACGGCCTCAGCAGAGTATAATGCCATAGAGTCCATCCTCCAAAGCAGCCAGTTTCTCCAGCAGAACTGGTCTTGGTCATCTGAAATTCAACTGTAATAGCGAGAGATCTCCAGGCGTCAATCCTAATTATACATCAAGTTGTCCCAAAGTTAGAGGTTTCCTTTGTTATAGCAAATGGGAGTGGCACAGTGGAAGACTTCCAGCTCTCTTTAATTAGCAGGGGAATGACACCTCCATTCCCAAATAAGTACGATCTATTACCAAAGGACTGGGTGTCATGTGGATCCGTCATATTGCAGGGAATAAATGGTCCAGAGATTCTGCAGATAGGGAAGCAGACTGAGCCAGGGGAAGGGTGGTTTGTATTTTATCATCAACTCAAGATTTACTTAAGGTAAAGGTAAAGGTTTCCCTTGCTCGAAAGCTAGTTGAATCTGACTCTAGGGGGCAGTGCTCACCTCCGTTTCCAAGCCGAAGAGCCATCGTTGTCTGAAGATGTTTCCGTGGTCATGTGGCTGGCACGACTAAACACCGAGGCACACGGAATGCTGTTACCTTCCCACCAAAGTGGTACGTATTTATCTACTTGCAGTTTCTTGCTTTTGAACTGCTAAGTTGGCGGGAGCTGGGACCAGAGACGGGAGCTCACTCCGTCACGCGGCACTCGGGTCTTGAACTGCCGGACTACAGGCCTTCCGGTCTGCAGCTCAGCATCTTAACCTCTGAGCCACCGCGGCCTCTGTATTTACTTACAAGATTTACTTACTTATGTCCAAAATGTATGCCCTACCTTTCTGTCGTCATAAGGGCCTTGAAAATATACATAATAAAATCACATCTTAAAAACTATTAGAGGCAACAAAACCATATTATTAAAACCAGAGATAAAATATACATAAAAACAACAAAACATTGGACAGGAAGGGAGGGATCACAGATGGAACACCAAACTAAACAAAAAAGTCTTCAACCACTTGCAGAAGATGGCAAGAGAAGGGGACAGACAAGTCTTCTGGGGAGAAGAGTTCCAGAATTTTGGTGTCACAAATGGGAAGGCCTTTTACAGGGTTGCTACACACTTCATCTCAGAAAGTGGGGGCACCTTAAGCAGGGCCTCAGAAGATGACTGCAGTGGTCAGGTAGGTTCAGAAGGACATAGGTGGTCCTTCATCTGTGCTGGTCCCAAACCATAGAGGAGTTCAAAGGTCAATACCAGCACCTTGAATTGTGCCCAGGAACAGACTGGGAACCAAAGTAGATAGGCCAAGACCTTACAACTCACTCCAGTCAACATCCTGGCCACAGCATTGTCCACCAACTGAAGTTTTCAAACAATTTTCAAGGACAGCCCCACGTAGAGCACATTGAAGTAATCTAATCTAGATGTAACCAGGGCATACAACATAGTGGCATTCTCAACACCAACTGAGACTGTTGATTGTCAGCAAACTACCAATGTGGACACTGCAACCTCTTAATCAAAAATTGTTCCTACCAATTTTATTGTTTATTGTTTTTATGATTTTAATTTTATTTTATTTTAACGAGTCTTTGACTTGATTTGTTGTGATCTACCCTGAGCCCATTTGGGGAGGGTAGAATAAAAATCCCTAAATAAATAAATACATAAAATTTGCATCAGACAGCAGTAGGGATGTTTAATACGCAGTTTGTCACAAGGCTTCCATAGATATGAGGGAAGAGTTTGCAATGGTGGATTTGATGCCATGGGTACACTAGGGTGTTAAAAGAGAAATGTGGATGTTAAATATAGAAAGGAAATTGCTGCTACTCTAATCTGGGAGAACCGGGTTTGATTCCCCACTCCTCCACTTGCACCTGCTGATGTGACCTTGGGTCAGTCACAAGCTCTGGCACAGCTGTCCTTGGAAAAAGAGCAGTTTGTGTCAGAGTTCTCTCAGCCCCACCCACCTCACAGGGTGTCTGTTGTGGGGAGGAGAGGGGAAAGGAGTTTGTAAGCCGCTCTGAGACTCCAAGTGAAGGGCGGGGTATAAATCCAATCTCCTCCTCCTCCTAATTTGGTGTCCCTTAAAGCATTGCATTCTGGTGGTGGAAAGTGCTGTCAAGTCACACTCGACTTATGGAGACCCTGTGGGGTTTTCAAGGCAAGAGATGAACCAGAGGTTTGCCACTGCCTACCTCTCTGTAGCAACCTTGGCTTTTCTTGGTAGTCTTCCATTCAAGTATTAATCAGAGCCAGCCCTGCTTAGCTTCTGAGGTCTGACAAGTTCAGACTAGCCTGGACCATCCAGATGAGGACATTGCATTCTAGGTGACCATATATTTCACTTATTTCGTTGGGCTAGTACAGGACACACACATACATACTCTGGGTATTGGGGGGGGGGCGGGAAACTGGTAATGAAATGTGAGAGTAAAGTTTGTGGCATTTCTACACAAAGCCCAACTGAACATATAGTACGGACAATGGTCATTCACAATGGTAGAGACAGGGGTACTGGGAACATCCCTGTTTTCATACCTAGGATCCAGCTGCTGAAGCACCTTCTCTGTCTCTTGAATACAGTATTCACATACTCCGCAGTAATCTCAACTGTTTTTAGGCAAGGATTACAGGGGTTTAAGGAGGTGGTAGAATGAACTGTAACCACCTCAAAGTACAAATGGAGCATACCACATGCCACTACCTGTAGAACACACAGAAAAGTACCACATCACTCTTGTGCTTTAAAAAGAATTTTAAAACGTGGTACACAGCAATAAAAATATACCCATTAGAAAAACCATATATGTCTTGTTCAGATTGTTAATACTTTTTATTTCTGCATTTTAACTTTCCTATACTGAACACAATCCAGCAATTTTAGTCCTTTTTGCTAGATTGTTCCAGTTTGGCTAAAATGGGCAGGACTGACTACCCAAGCGATATGAAGAGCTGCACTGACCAACTGATTATTTGGGGTCCCTCCCCTATGATTTTAGTGTGTGGTGCTAGCACTGTTCCAGAGAGGCTGTGGAGCAATTTTGGGAGTGTCTCTCCCCACCTTCTCATTGTGACTAGCATTGGCTAATCTGGGGAGGGATATTTTGCATAGGGTTAATCCTGCCTGGAGGCTCCTGAAATCACATGGCTTCTCCTGGTCCCTGCAAAGCATACAAGATACTCCGAATATGGAGAGAGGACTGCCACACCTGCAACTCTTCTTCTGCATGGGAAGGTTATGAGATCTGGTGACTTTATGCCACCAGGGAAAAAACCAGCCGCACGCAGGTTCGATCCGGAGGGAATCGGAGGCCCAGAAGGTCGATTGCAGCTACTCGGGCTGCCGCTCCCTCCCAGCCCCGCTGCTCTAGCAGCTGTTTTTGTGCGTCTTCTCCTCCTTCCAGGCTACCGGCCTGCAGGGAGAGGGCGCGCGAGACGGTCCCGGGACTTCAGAGCAATTGCAACGGGAAGAACTTCGCTGCACAGCGGCGCAGGCAGCCCTCCGCAGAGAGGAACTTTGCCCGAGGCTCTCTTGGGAAGGGAAGCCCGCTTGCCGGCTGACGGCTGGTGCAGGAGCGCTTTCTAGTTGGCTCGCATTTGGAGCCTGAGGGGAAGAAAGTCCCACAGCCAGGGACACCTCCAGGGAAGGGAAGCGATGAGCCTTCCTCGCCCGTCGAGGCGTTTGCTCTCCTGTTGGATGGCGCTGATGTTCCTCAAGGCAGCGCTTTGCCAGCCAGGTAAGGGAAGGGAAGGGGCCCAGGAAGGGTGTGTGTCCGCGAAGCATCTTCAGAGTTAGAATGATGATCAGGGTGCCTGTTCAAGATTATGACGCTGTTGTCAAGTCAAATGCAGTGTTATAGCTTTTCCTCGGTTTTTATGGATTTTGTGGTCTTATGTTTATGCTTTGAGAGTTATGTTTATGCTTTGAGAGTTGTGTGGAAAATACTGGGCATACAACGATTACGTTATTGCTAAGTTATTACATAATTATTACATTGACAGCCTGAAAACAGTTGTTTAAAGTGGGTGAAAATGGAGTTCCCGCCTCATGGTATGTTTTTGAGTGAAGTGCAGAAGCATGAGGGAATTACTTGAAGTAAAAGAGGAAGGGTCTGTAAAGGGGCAGCTAAAGGGGGTTAAGAGGAGTCATCTTGTTGCACTGTCCGGTTACAGAAAAATAGCCCCACCAGTCAGTTGCAGCAAAAGCAAAGGCAGATCCCCCTTGAAACCAAGGGAGCAAGTTAGTCATGGCTCATTTAAGGTCCAGTGTTGTGAAGGGGCTTAGTGTTATTCTATACCTGTCTCTTCAGAAGTAAATCCCACTGAGTTGAATTTAATTTAATTTAACTCCCTAATAGGTGTGCTATTTTACTTTGCCTAACTTTACTTTGACTGGGGTCAGTAAATGCTAGCGTTGCCAGTCTCCAGGTGAGGCCTGGAGATCTCCTGCTATTACAGCTGATCTCCAAATAAAATGACTGCTTTGGAGGGTGTAGTTAAATAAATAAATAAATAAATAAATAAATAATCCACTTTCAATGCACTTTCCAGCTGGATTTTACTGTGTGAACTGGCAGAATCCAATTTGAAAGTGCATTGAAAGTAGACTGAAAGTTGATTATTTAGTGTTTGTAATTGCAGCCTATGTATACGTTAAACTGCTGTGGGGCCTGTAGGTTTGTGCCCGTATTGGCAGGTCTTGAGACTGGTCATTTTGAATCAGCCACTTCACATCAGTGGAAGGCCTGACGTGTCCTTCTGATCACATGTAACCCATCTTTTGGATTACAAATTTTTGATTTTAGCATAATACTTTGGGTTACAAACTTTTGACTTTAGCGTAATTAATCTTCATCAGACAGAAGTTTGATCTCACTGTTTCCATAATTTTTAAATATATCTTGTTAATGCAGGAGTCCATAGTGCTTCCTTCAATGTCGCTTTCTCCCCACCTTTTTTCACTGTGCAATCTTCCTCAGACTTTTTGATGTTCTAAGGTGAACGCTATAGCGCTAAACCACTGTAGCACTGAAGTGCTATAGCTGCACCACAGAGTCAGTGCATCTCTGCATCTCAAGTGAAGTGTTATAGCGGTTTAGCACTATATTGCTCACCTTAGAACGGTTTTCTAAATGTGTGAGGAAGATCACATGGTGAAAAATGGCAGGGGGAAAGTGGCACTGTTTGAAATTACCATAGCATTTCAGAGACTGCTCATTAGCAAAAGGAAATTTGCTGTATAAAACCCCTGTCCCTGTATTGCTTTACTTGAAATCAGGCCAATAATGAATAACAATTGGTTTAGAATGGTAGTGTGAAAAGGGCCTCTGTTCCAGCATTGATAATATGGCACAACTTTTGGTGATACTTGTGGCTTATGGTGTGCCCATCCCTCCTAAGAAGGCATGTTTCACTGCTTGTAGCACATTCTTACTCTGTACTGTTACATTAATTCAAGGCGACTTTTGAAGGTGAACTAGATGACCCTGGCTAGCCCAATCATGTCAGATCTCAGAAGCTAAGCAGGGTCAGCCCTGGTTAGTATTTGAATGGGAGACTACCAAGGAAGTCAAGGGTTGCTATGCAGAGGAAGGCAATGGCAAACCACCTCTGAATATCTGTCACCTTGAAAACCCCATAGGATTGTCGTAAGTCAGTTGTAACTTGACAACAAAAAAACAATAGCAACAACTTTTGGAAGTGGGAATATCCTGTCCCATATTACTGGATTTTTTTATTCTGAAAACTCATCTCTCTATGGAAAGTATGGTGGTGGAAAGTGCAGTCAAGTCACAGCTGACTTACAGCAACCCTGTAGGGTTTTCAAGGCATGATATGTTCAGAGGTGGTTTGCCGTTACTTGCCTTTGCTTAGCGACCATGGACTTCCTTGGTGGTTTCCCATCTAAGTACTACCCAGGGCCGACCCTTCAGAACCAGGGCTTCTGAGATCTGATGAGATTGGGCTAGCCTGGGTTATCCAGATCAGGGCATTGAAAGTATACCTCCTTAAAGTATCTGACACTAGAATGGCCTTTGCTGGACAGTACATTGTTCCTGTATCATAGGCCTGGAATCTCAACAGCATGCGGTACACTCCTTTTTTTAAAAAAAGGTTTTTATTGAAAATCTAATATCAGACACGAAGACAAACCAGTGACAATAAATTGTCATAAACATGTGAGGTCATAGTAAATAATCAAGTATCAATTAATTAATATAGTAAAACACAATTATGATCAAAATGGTCTTTGCTTTGAGCAATACTCTTTAGGAATACTTAGCAAGGGTTTTTCCATTATGATCTGTTTTCCGTTATGATCTGATTAGACACTGTCCAAAGTAAACTGGTGAAGCCATTCTGCTCCAAACAGTACTGCTAGTAACTCCTTCCCTAATGGTGCTATTGCTTTACTAAAAGGTTTTTGGTCTTTGCCCTGAATCAGTAGTGCTCCAAGATATTTCTCCAAAGTATCACACTGCAGTATGAGGATTTTTTAAAACATTCTTTTGAGCCCTTCCTTCTGGGCTTGTGACTGTTCTTAGACTGCCTTGTTGTATGATAGAAACCTAAGTGGTTTGCAGGCATTGGACGATTATTTACAGAGACAGTTGGCCATCCCAATAAGTTTCACAGGTCCTTTGACAAATTTTGGTCTGGGCATCTCCCTAAGGGATTTTAGTGGACCATATGGAATCCAATGGACATATTCATAACAAAACAAAGTGTGCTTTAGTTCTGACAGCTGACATTGGTATTGTAGTGTCTTAACCCAATCTAATTAAAAATATTTAAAACCGATCAGATAATATGAAAAGATGTAGCTTATTTATGTTAACGTGTTTAATATTTCTCTTGCTCTAGAATGCCAGTCTGGAGGTCATCAGATCCTTCATAGCCCATATAGAAGTGTTAATTTTGATTCATCACAGCTTCAGCAGTCGGCTATTCAGGACGTAATATGTGATCATTCATTGACGTCAGGATGGTATCGCTTTGTAATTTTTGATAAACCAGCTGAAATGCCTACCAAGTGTGTGGAGGTATTGGTACACTCCATTTAACTTATAAGAAGTAACATGAGTGCAAAGAGGGAGAACAGTCAGCAAATTAAAAAGTCAGCCAATGTGTCAAGTTGTTTTTTTAATTTGAATTGGACGTGGTTCATACAACTATCAGCCCGCCACACCCTGTTGTCCCTTTTGCAAGGTTGCAAAGCCTGTTGCTGCATCTTGAACCCTGTTTGAATATCTCTGTTCTCAAGCAATGATTGAAAAATTACAAGTGGTTTTGGTCTATGTGGGATAAACTGTAATTTTTAGATGGCTAGCATGTTGCATCAGGAATCATGTTATCTTTTGCATATTCACCAAGACATAAATTCACACATACCTGCACACGGGGAAAAGTTTCCTTTTTTCTTCCTTTTAGTAGTATTAGTGGAAATTTAAAAGTAGCTGTTACTATAGGCCTATTAAATTTTATTTTTTATTTACTTGAGGGTTGGAAGGGACCACCAGGGTCATCTAGTCCAACCCCCCGCCAATGCAGGAACTACAACTATAATATCCCTGACAAGTAGGTATCCAATCAATAACTCCAACAATGAAGAATCTACCATCTCATGAAAGAGACTGTTTCAGTGCCAAATGCACCTCACCATCAGGAAGTTCTTCCTCAAATTCAGATGAAACCTCCTTGGCTGTAGTTTATATCTGTTAGTCCAGGTTCTCTCATCCAGCATGACTGAAAACATATGTGCCTCATCCTCTGGCATCCCTTTTAAGTATTGGAATGATACTACCTCACAAGTGCCTTTTCTCCAATTTGAGGACTGTTAAGATAAACCCCACCCACCAGCCATGTTTGTGGTGACCTATTAGGTACATGTCAGACTTCCCTATTTTTTCTTAATTCTAGGCAGGTGGCAAAGCAGAAGATTTTTCAAGGTCATAGTGGGCTGCTGTACATACTTGGCGGTTGGTGCATCACAGGCCTATGCTACCAAACATATCCAAAGTATTCCTTATTTCTCATACTGCTTGTATCTGCCTTAGCTGACAAATGCTTTGTGGGGAAATTGGCCATTTTCTGAATTATTTTTTTTTTTTGCTTTTGGTGGTAAAAGGTGAATCACTGTGGAACACAAGCTCCTGTCTGGCTGTCTCTGGGAGAGTCCGAATCCTTGCCTCAACCTGGTGAAATCAAACACTTAACAGCCTGTGCAACGTGGCGGTTTTTCTTCAGCACTGCAGAAGACTGCTGCCTTTTCCGAATTCCTGTTAGTGTAAGGAACTGTGGGGATTTCTTCTTGTACTTGCTCCAGCCTACCCAGGGGTGCATGGGATATTGCGCAGAAGGTGAGAAACTTTATGTTGCTGAATTGCTAAACATCAATATGTTTTGTTTTCCCATCAGGGCCTCTAACCATTTGGTCCCTTGTCATGGTTTGGTAAGCACTTCTATGGTTTTGTAGAGAACTTTAGCATGACTGTCTGTGATACTTTTAGTCACAAGGTAAGGCATTGGAGTTCTATGTAGATGTATATAAGAAATGTGAATCCTGTGAAGCAATTTGATGAATATTAGTCTCTACTAGGCTGCTTCCAAGGACCTGAAAATGACCTTTGGTTTATTTAGTTATCCAGTACATTTTACCTCTCCCAGGGTGCTCCCAGGTGGCTTAAATAGTTATTTTCCTTTGTCCGTTTTATCCTTACAACAATCCTGTGAGGTAGATAGGGCTGAGAGAGGATGACTGACTCAAGGTCACCCAATGGGTTTTATAGCTAGTGGAGATTTGAACCCTCATTGCCCAGGTCCTAGTCCAGCACTCTAATCACACTGATACTTGTCTGAAACCAATGTCATTTTGCATGGAAATTTCTCTTCACACATAAAATACACCAGCTTTCCCCCAGTCCCAATACACTTACAGACTCTCTAACCTATACAGTTTGCTAATTGCCTGTTGCCTGATTTAATTTACCTCAAGAAATTTTAGTAGTGTGTTCCCGTCTGCCATCTGCCAGCTTGTACCTAATACTACAATCCTGGACCTCTAGTAGCTAGAATTGGTATCTGCTACACTACTGCTGTGGTTTCCTCAGTGGTATTATGGTGGCTGCCAGGCTGTCTATAATTGTCTATATAGTCATGTAGAACTTAGTGGTATCTTCTATAATGGCTCTAAAAGTAGCAAGGAGGTATTGGGGAACATGAGGAATGCATCAGCAGGTAATTGGCATGGGCCAAAAAACAACGGACAAAAGCCAAAAGCATTGAGGAAGACAAGCTACACCAGTGCATGCAAGAGAGCCCTATGTACTACAATAGTGGGGGTAAAGAACTTTACGGCTGTGAAACACAGAGGGGAATTTCACATTACCCTTTTAAAGCCGTTATTATACTGTCTTGGAGTAAACCGGTACAGGGTTGCCATTTCACACAGGCTTTCCCCTACCGGTAAGGAGCCATCTCTGAAGCGGTTTGGCATTTCAGACTGTGCCGCTTTATTTTCCTGCCCTTTTTCACCTGCACGGGCGATCTCTGTCCTTTTGGGGGTTTTTTGGAACATTCATTTTAGGGTGCTATGGCGCTATAGCGCTATACAGGGGTCTTGTTGTAGAAAAAGAGCTGCCGGAGCTCATTAGCATAACTCATTAGGATAACTTATTTGCATATGCCACGCCCCCTGACATCACCGGAAGTGATAGAAGGCCACACCCCCTGACATCACCGGAAGTGTGTCAGAAGGCCCGGCTACTTACCCTCCTGCTTCATCCTCATTCCCAAACGGAATGAGGATCGAAGCAGAGGGCGGGGTAAAGAAGGGGGTGGGGCTTCACCACGTGACCGCCCTGCCCCCTAGAGGTTCTCTTCCGGAGCTCCGTACCTGAGAGCTCCCCCCCGACTAGAGCCCTGGCGCTATAACAGACCACCAAAACAGCAACCCCATTGGAATGCCTGAACTCCACTGGGATACATGAGATGGCTACAGGGGAAGGTGAGTCAGGGAAGGTGATGAGTTGTCAGGTTGCCAGCTGGGGAGAAGATGCTCATTGAACAGCAGGTTTAGGTGGGAGATCAGGGCATCAGTGATTGGTGAGACAGATGTTGCTGACCCAGCCTGATGTGCATCCATCCATGCCAAGAGGCGATTGGCTGGGAAGTGACTGGCACAGAGCTGGATCAGGTATATAGGGCAGGGAGGCAAACCCTTTATCTTTGTGAGCTGAAGTTGTTGAGTGGTAGGCTTGTCGGTGTGATTGCGTGAGAGGCTACTGATCTATTAGTCATGGTCTCCATAACTACCTTGTTGCAACTGATCCTGGAGATGTTGCAGATGATGATCAGCAGCACAGCAGCTTTGACTGAGGTGCTTATGCACTTCCTTCATCTCTCTAAGGAGGAGGGGGAGGAGAACTGACATGCCTGTCTTGAGCCATGCACCCTCCAGGTACAATCGGAGGGCATCTATCAGGGCATGGGCACCTGTCATTGCTGCCCATACAGTCCCTCGACGTTGGTGGGTAAAAGAGAGGACTGGTGGAACAACACTGTGATGGGCACATGGATCAATAAAGACTGGCTGAAGAATTTCCGGATGTCTAGGGCAACCTTTTTTGAACTAGCTGGTTCCCTGAGGCACTGTCTGGAGTGGCAGAACACTCACATTAGGATATCCATTCCAGTGGAGAAAAGACTGGCCATCACCCTATGGTACATGGCCAAACAAAAAGTATTCAGTGAACTCAGATATCAGTTTGGTGTGGGCCTGTCAACTGCATTCCTTATTGTGAAGGAGGTGATTCTGGAGGAGCTCTTCATCAAGAAGGTCTGCCTTGGAAATGAGCATAATTTGGGATGAATGCAGAGCTTCTTGGATTCTGTCATCCCCCCACAATGCAAGGACTCACAGTGGGCATGGAAGGGTTAGCAACATCTGTCACACCAATCACTGATGCCCTGATTTCCTGTCAAAGCCTGCAGTCCAATGAGGTACTTGTTTCCAGGTGGCAGATGTAGCCATCTCATGTATCCCAGTGGAGTCCAGGCATTCCAATGTGGTTGCTGTTTTGGTGTTCTGTTATAGCGCTATAGTGCCATAGCACTCTAAAATGAATGTTTTTTTTTAAAAAAAAAAGATGGAGATCGCCCACGCGGGTGAAAAAGGGCGGGAAAACAAAGCATCGCAGGAGGAAGCACTATGGGGCATTTTACACAGCACCCCGTAGTGCTTCAGAAACGGTATAGAAAAGTGGAGACTGCTTGGAAGCAGTTTGCAGGTAAAATGGTTCAGCCACGTTTCCTGAACGGGACAGAAGGGTTTCTGTCTGAAAGTGAAAATATATTCTGGTAGGGAACCGTTACTGACCAGAAACCGTAAGGGAACAGTTCCTGAACCGGAATATATCGGCTGTCTGAAATTCCCCAATGTGTGTTGACCTCAGTAATAACAGCTCTTTACCATGTCCACTGAGTCATGTATGAGCCATGGAACAAAGATCAGAAGTACACGTCTGTGTACTTTCATGCAAGCAGAGCACTTGCAAGTTACAGAACAAGTGGATTTTAGCTGATATACAGAAAAGTATAATCACTCCTAGCAGTTTTAGAAAATCAAATAAACTGAACAGTTGGATCTAGAATGTTCTTGTTCACAAAATTACATCTGCTATATTCCAATTTTGAAAGTGATTCAGACCATTGCTAAAGCAATAATCAACCATCAGTGAACTCCCAAGTTTGTTTTTAATAGTTTCTGACAGCAAATCAAAATGACTGACCAAAGTATCTCTTACATTAAATCAAAACTGCTGACTAATTTACAAGAATCAATTATTCTTGATATGCTAACTGAACAGAGAAGGAAAAAAATCTCACAGTAAAGAAGATTTACTTGCAGTAATAGGAGGTTTTAAATTAGGTTTGTCTGCTGCTTTAATTAAAATAAGTGAAATAAGCTCTTTATTATCAGGAAGAAATATCAGTTATTTACCGCAAACATTCCAGTGTAACAAGGTTTTTATTACTTATTATTTTACATGCCAAATGAAATTATTATAATTTAATTGATTTTGTAATTATGCAAGAAAAAGTAGATGGTGAGAGGTATAAATGTTTTTCATCATCCCATACAACTTATTTAATGAAACACTAAATGTATATAGTATAATGCACTGTTTCTTTTTATAGCAGAAAGTAATTTAAATATTGAAAACATTTTATTATACATTAAACTAAAAGCCAAATTGCTATCTTAAAATGAAAGTAATGAACTGTTTTAAAAAGTGAGAAATACATTTAATTTAAAAGCTTACGGCTGTTTAGTAAAATTACAGCACACTGAAAACTTTAAATCAGCAATTCTCAGACGTTAGCAACCCAAGGACCCCATTTTGATTAAAATATTTTTATGGATCTCCTGGCTGTTGCCTCCTCTCTTGCTGGCACATTCCACCCAATCCGTTTCAAAGTATGTGTGGCAGCCCATGTATGACATGTGGAGGCTTCCATCCTTGTGTGTCCTCAAAACAATATAGTGAGACCTTTATCAGCTACACTTCAAAAGCAAGTTTAAGTAAAATGTTTTTCTCTGTATGGCTTATAAGGTCAGATCTCAGAGAGCTGATTGTATTGGGCCACTACTCAAAAGGCCCCTTGACCCATATTCTGGTCAATCTTGCTGTGAGAGCCTACAATTACCATAGGTGTAGGATGACTACATTGGTGATATTCCAGAAAGCTTTGCTGTGTTGTGCAGCATACCTCATTGTGGTTCCTTAGGAGGAGGTGCCGGTGTTCATGTATACTGACTTCACTACCATCAATGAGACCCAACTTTAACGTTTGGAACAGACTTTGGATACAGTTTTGGGAATGAGCTTAGAGATAGAACTATTAGAATAACACCCAGCCCTTGGTTTCCAGTGTGATTTGGGAAATCCATCTTTCTCTCATACACTTTCTGGGCATGACTGGCCTTGCTTCCAGCAATTAAAATAATGTGGCATGATACAGTAGACTTGGTCATGCAAGGGCACTGCCATGCATTGTTGATGCTAGGCCTATGTCAGTTACACTGCAAATATCAGCCATGTAGAATCGCAGCAATGTAATAAGGTATTTTCTCACATGGTACGTCAAGACAATGCCTTGTAGTAGCTTTGTATGCTTCCTTTCTGTGTGGTTCCATATTGTGTAGTAGCTTTGAATCCCACTGTTGGAGGGTGGCTGATAACAGTAAAACGTCAGCTGTTATCCAGCTATGCATGATTGGAAAGGAAAATGTACTTGCATAGTTTATACTTGTTAGGGATGCCAATCTCTAGGTGGGACCTGGGGATTTGGAGGGTGGATTTTGGGGAGGGTAGGCCTTGGAAGGGACCTCAGTGGGGTATAGTGCCATAGAGTCCTCCATCGAAAGTGGCCATTTTCTCAAGCAAACTGATCTCTGTAGTCTGGAGATCTCCAGGCCCCACTAGTATTCCAGAGATTTACTGTCTTTGCTTGTTGAGGTTCCCTTTTAGTTATCATGATTATTAAATATTCAGGGACCCATCTTCCATGAATATGGTTAATCTACACACACAAAAGAATGCTTGTATAGGTCGATCCCTGTTCTGAAATCAACAAAACAACTGTGGATTGGCATGCATATCTTTAAGGTGTCATGGCTTTTTGTTACCTATGTACTAACATGGATTTGCCAGAACAGTTGTGTGACTCATAAATCTAAGCTTTTTAATTTATTATTGTTAGGTCCAAGACAAAAATATTCCTGTTGATACACTAATTTCAGGAATCTCTCTCTGTAGTGATTTCAGATGCAAAACCCCATGACTGTCAATCTGGGGACCATGGAACACAAACCATCTGTAGCAGTAAGTGTCTTGTGCTTGTTGTCAATATACTCTTTGCAGAGATGGTCCAGGGAATTCATATGCAATATGTTTGATTTCTTTCTCTGATTTTGAGCTTGGTAAAATAACTGAAGTTGTCTTTCTGATTAAAAGACATTAAAGCATAATTGCTGTTGTTGTTCAGGTGAAGAGATGCATGCAATAGCTAAATAGTAGATGAAAACATCATTGTCACAAAAAGGGAAACTTGTGTAATACCTCTGTTGCTTCACTGAACATTAGTTCATGTGTATTTATGATTTTTGGTTTTGTACCTCTTCATTTTGAAGTAATATTAGACATGGGAAAGATTTCCCAAAATCATTAACTAGACAGGAAGAGTGGTGGATCAGAATGGGGGTAACTTGCCCTTCGCACATCACTAAGCCTGGCTGAAAGTGTACAGCTTGGGGAGGCAGTGCAAAAGCATTGGAAGCAAGACCCAAAGGGAATCTATTTTGATAAGCAGAATTAGCTCTTTGTATAGCAGTGAATTTTTATTCCTTGAATTTCTAGATTCGGATTTTTCACCATTTTATTTTATTTTGATACGGTCGACCATGAGTTGTTGACCCACCGCCTTGCCAATGTGGGGATACGGGGACTAGCCTTACAGTGCTTGGCCTCCTTTCTCCAAAGTCGGGGACAGAGGGTGGCACTGGGGGGGGAATGGCTCGGCAACACCCACTTGAATGTGGGGTGCTGTAGAGCGTGATTCTCTCCCCGATGCTATGCAATATCTATTTGCGCCCCCTTGCCCAGATTATCCAGAGATATGGGTTGGGCCGTCACCAGTATGCTGATGACACCCAGCTCTACCTGCTAATGGACAGCCACCCAGAATCTACCCCTGAACATCTGGATAGGGCGTTACAGGCCATGGCTGGTTGGTTACAGCAGAGCAGACTGAAGTTGAATCTATGAAGATGGAGGTCCTGCACCTGGGCCGTGGAGGTCTGAGGCTTCCAGCCTTTGGCATGACCCAGTTGGTGCCAGGACTGAAGGTAAAGAGCCTGGGAGTGTTCCTGGGTGCCTCATTGTCTATGGAGTCCCAGGTCACTGCCAAAGCCAGATCAGCCTTTTTCCATCTGAGGCAGGTCAGGCAGTTGGGCCCATATCTCACCCCTCGTGACCTGGCTGCAGTGATCCATGCAGTGGTCACTTCCAGGCTAGATTATTGTAATTCTCTCTACATGGGGCTGCCCGTGACTCTGCTCCGGAAATTGCAGCTGGTACAGAATGCAGCAGCATGGGTACTGATGTTGCTGCCTGTGTGGGCCACATCCGCCTGGTGCTGTGCAAACTGCACTGACTGCCTATTGAATACTGGATCCATTTCAAGGTGCTGGTTCCTACCTTTAAAGCCCTATACGGCCAGGGGCCTGCATATCTTCAAGACCGCCTCTCCCCATATGAGCCCCGGAGGGCATTGCGCTCTTAGAATCAACATCTGCTGATGGTCCCTGGCCCTAGGGATACCCGAATTGCCTCAACTAGGGCCAGGGCTTTTTTGGTTTTGGCGTCTGCCTGGTGGAATGAGCTCCCAGTAGAAATCAGGGCCCCGTGAGAGCTTTTACAGTCCCATAGGGCCTGAAAGATGGAGCTCTTCCACCAGGTCTTCAATTGAGGCAGTGGGTATCTAATTCATTCTGGCCTCCCTCTTCCTTCCCCCATGAGTCACTCTTATGTGTTTGTTGAGATATTATTTATCGTATTTATTATAAGCTTTTTTTGTTCTGTTTTTATGATGTAAATCTGCATTCAGCAGATTATTATAAGTTGGAATACACCCTGAGCCAGCTTTGTGGGGAGGGCGGAATATAAATGGAAGGAAATGAATAAAAATAAATAAATAAAATTTATTTTATTTTGCAATGTTGGTATCCCATGTTGACCTTATTGGTGTGTACTCAGCTGCTTGGCTGAGTTTCTTGTGTGCAGAAGGCTTCTCATTCTTCTAAATGTATGGAATATCAGAGTTGCCCTGCTGGATCAGACTCATGGTCTTCTAGTCCAGCATCCTGTTTCACACAGTGGCTAACCAGTTGCTCCAGAGAGCCAAACAAGGCATAGAGACCAAAGCCTTCCCCTGATGTAGCCTCCTGACACTAGTATTCTGGAGATTTACTGTCTTTGATTGTGGAGATTCCCCTTAGTCATCATGATTATTAATCATTCAGGGACATATCTTCTATGAATATGGTTAATCTACACACACAAAAGAATGCTTGCATAGGTCAGTCCCTCTGCTGAAATTAACAGAACAACTCTGGGTACAGGGAGCACCACAGATATATGAAAGGTCCTGCACACAGATGATATTGCTGGGTTGGGCCACTGAAGTACAAAAATTTGAAATTTAGTAGGCGAGGACAGAAACTGGGAATCTGGGGAATCCTTTGGAGTACTAGAATTCTACCTCCTTATCAGGATTTTAAAGAGAACACTTGAGGAGTTTGAAGAAGGTAAGGGGAATCTGCCCTACAAATATCTCCATCTCTAGTGGTGTCCAGATCTGCAATTGTTTCATAAAATGTCATGATAACCTTTGGGTATGTTGAATGGCTATTATGCATAACATGTTGATTTCAGACTTTTTGTTCCCAATGGTATATATGTACACAGCACTCTGCATACAATTACATGTTTTGCTTTATCCAACCTGCATGGCTGTCAGTTTAGCTGATATTTTTGAAATGGCTTGCAGAAAATTAATTTATTGGGCTTAATGCTTTTTAAACAAATTTCCCCCAACTTTTCTCCTTTTACCTTGTTTTTTAAATTGATCGTTTATATTCCTTAAAGACTCTCCACTTGTTTTTCATCTTCTTATTAGGTAAATTTCCTCCTTCACAATTGCAACTTCCATTACCACCCTCTCCAAGCATACCTGAAATTGTGGCAGAGTTAGTTGATGATATTGTTTTCTTAAGGTGCACCTTTGATGTACCTACTGCAAACACCTCAGTGGGCTTTGTTGTGGTTTGGTCCAGACTGTCTCCTGAAAGCATCAAAGAAGAACTGAGACAAGAGACAACTGTTCAGACATTCTCAGTTTTAGAACTGGATGGTATAAACCTCAGACTTGGAGATAGGGTATGTTTAAATATGATTCTACTGTTTATGTTTATGCAAATTAATAATAATGTTCATTTACCCTCTAATTACCAGTCTTAAAAAAATAATCTTTACAGGGCAAAGAGTTTGTATCAAGTGATAAATGACTGGGATGAAACATCTTTGTATGCTATTCTTTTATTCATGGAGCCCTAGGTGGTTGTTTGTCTTATTTTCTGTGATTATAGTGTTGAGGAAGGATAGTTTTATCTGTGTAGATGTGGTATATATAATTATTAGGGGTGTGCATTCGGCTCTATCCAAGCCGGAAAATACCATATCAGTATTTATCAGCTATTCTTTCAGCTGGATATAGAGGGGGCATAGCAAATCCTGGATAATCCCAGTTCCAGGTGAAGCTGCAGCTTCAGGAATGCATTTGAAGGGACCACAACACCTTTGGCTCCATTATAGCCCGTGGGGACCATTATAGTCACTAGTTCTGCTAAACTTGCAACAAAAAAAAAACCCTCGCTTGGATTTGTTGAGCTGGCATTGCCACCGTGGCATTGGTTCTGCTGGGCACTCTGTACCTGCACTGGCTGTGCTAGGCTTACAACACCCCCTTGCCTGGATTTGTTGAGCTGGCATTGCCACAGTAGCACTGGTTCTGCAACAAAAAAACCACACACACACCTTTAGCTTCTATGCAGAGACTTTCTGGTTTGACATCAATCCCTGCTTTTTTCCTGTTTTTCCTCTCCGTTGGAAATAATGGAGAATGGGGGCACTTTCTTTGGGAGCCCATAAAATTGGACCTCCAAAGAAGGTGCCCCCATCCACCATTATTTCCAATGGAGGGGGAAAATAGCAGGGACTGAAGTCAAACCAGAGAGTCTCTGCATAAGAAACTAAAGGGTTTTTTTTGCAGAACCAGTGCTACTGTGGTAATGCCAGCTCAACAAATCCAAGCAAGGGGGGGGTTCCAAGCCCATCATGTATAGCATGCCAAGCAGTACCAGTGCAATGTACTAATGCCCAGCAAAACCCAGTGCCTTCCCTTAAATGCTTTCTTTTTTCCCCTCTGGGGCATTCTGTACATGTGCTGGCTGTGTTGGACTTACAAACCCCCCTTGCTTGGTTTTGTTGAGCTGGCATTGCCGCAGTGGCACTGGTTCTGCTGGGCACACTGACTATACACTGGTTCTGCTAGGCTTGCAACGCCCCCCTTGGATTTATTGAGCTGGCATTGCCACAGTAGCACTGATTCTGTAAAAAAAAAAAAAAACCCTTACACACCTTTAGTTTCTACTGAAGAGACTCTCTGGTTTGTCATCAGTCCCTGCTTTTTTGCTGTTTTTTCCCCTCCATTGGAAATAATGGATGGGGGCACTTTCTTTGGGGGCCCATAGAATTGGACCCCCTGGTCCAGTCTTTTTTAAACTTGGGTGGGCTTTTGAGTAGAGGCACCAAAAGCTACGCTGAGAATTTGTTGCCTCTAACTCAAAACACAGCCCCCAGACCCCTGGATACCCCAGATAGATTCCCCATTGACTATAATGGTCCCATAGGGTATAATGGAGCCAAAAATAGTAATCAGGATTTCTGAAAAAACCTGAATACCATACCAATATTGGAATGGGGGGGGGGGGTCTGATTTTTTTTTGTGTTCAATATATCTGAATCTGAAAAATCCTGAATTTTTTTTGTGCCCACCCCTAATGATTATGTTGATCTACAAATAAGTGTTCTGTTGCACTTATGCAGCTTTTAACACATTATTGTCTTATTCCTTTCATAGATTTACTGTAGCAGTTCTGCCTTTTTCTTAGAGAAACCAGAAATGCAGAGCCCACTCACTGAGAGCAAGGAATTCTTTGCAGGGATTAAGGTAGGTTGGGGTTGAATTTAGGTTCATATCATCTCTGTGCTGAAAGATATTTAGTGATTGCCTGTCTGTTTCTGGGGACAATTCAAAGTTCTGGTTCTGATCTTTAAGGTGTCAAATTCATTTATTACGAGGGCCGGATCTGACATATATGTCACTTTGTCGGGCTGGGCCATGTGTGCCATAAAATATGATGCCAGGTGCAGAAGACGATAAACGTTATGAAGGACACAGGGAAACCCAATTAATGATGTTATTTTTTACTCAAAATACAAATGTGCTTAAGACATTAACACTTTTACAGTATTTCCTTAGAGTATTTCCCTGATGCCCACCCTCCCACTTCCACTGCCCACTACTCATTAGCACTGGGACAGTATACAAGGAGATAATGTACAGCCTCTGTCATCTAGCAGTAAAGGCCCACAGGCTGTATGTTTGACACCCCTGCCCAGAATGTTTGGAGACCACCTCCTCTTGTTGAGTCCAATGCACCAGTTAATATCTTTCTCACAAACCTCTGCGCTCTGTAGAGATGAGGCAGGGGGCAACCAGAAACAGGGCTTTTCAGTGGTGGCTCCTATGGAATGCTGTTTCTGTTGAGTTTCAGCTGCTGTCTATGCTATTCTCTTTTAGGGTCCAGGCCAAATTTTCTTTTAAGTTAGGCTTTGAAATAAGGAGTTTGGTCTTTTAAAACTGTTTTTACAGCCTGCTTCTAGCTTCTTGATTGTTTTACCAAGATCATTTTAGACTGCTCAATGTTTTTGGCTGAGTTTTTAATACTTTGTTAATTGTCTCTGTGCTGCTTTATGATTTTATCATGTTTTACATTGTGAGATGCTTTGAGTAAGTAGTCTGGAGAGCTGGTATATATATTTAAATTAATAAAACAGTGCATTCCTCAATTATTTCTTTTAGTGAGAAATTTTACCTCCATAGATAGTCAGAACTGTAATATCATGTAAAAAGTAATACATGGAGAACAAATTAGAGAACATTGATTATCTGTAATTTTCTGCAAATAATTTTTATGTGCAAAAAAAATCTCAAACCCTTGACTGGAAATTCTTGGAGGAGTTTATTTCTTTCTTTTGGGGGAATCTCTTTTGCAGGATCACGTAAATTAATGGTAAAGGACTTATTTCTCCATCACAGTGTTGGTTTATTCAGGAGGATATTAAGTTTTGTATTATTTATGTTATTTAAAGTCCACCTTTCTTGATATTACCTTATTGAGTGTTGTTTTTGTATGGTTGACAAAACAGTTTGCTGTTTCAAGTCCTTAAACATTGTTCAGAAAATATTACACCAGTCTGACAGTGAGATAATTCCATGTAGATGTCTTGCATTCTTAGCATGCTCTTTTTATATGCCAGCTGCATCCTGAGGCATTTACTATATCCGAAGATGGAAAGCAATATAGACTGACAGCAGAAAGCAAAATTCCCATTCCTTGTCCTAAAGAAGGCCAGTTTGGAAATGACTGCAAAATCTCATTAAAATTAAACACGATAGAGGAAGGTAATAGCTACTTTGAATCTTTCTTTTAAACATTTTAAAAATGGCTTGTGCCCTGAGTTTTGATGATTGATCCATCTTTTCAACTGACCATTTTTATAGTGGTGAGTTACATATACAGTACACCCTAGGATATCTTGGCATAGTAGATATGCTGTTGAGGTCTTGATGACTCCAAGATCTCATATAGCATCAAGTAAAAGGAAGCAGAAGTATTTTGCCCAGGGAAATAATGAACCTGACCTTTTGAACCTGAATTCCCATATGAATCTGCCTGGTAATGAAGATCAGCATCAGAGGCTTGCCTTGGATCCCCATTCCACCCCTCTTTTGGAGGGTGTGTGTGTTATGGCAATCTCGCCCTCTTCCCTCCCCCACACACATGATTTTCCCTTTGTTTCTTTTTCTGAGCAGCCCCGACATCTATTTTCTCCTTATTTGATGGTCTTGGCTGTCCTACCCTATCACATTCTTATGTATTTTGATGCTGGCCCAGCCCAGAGACTTGAGGGAAGAGACAAAATCACCTGCTAATGTTCTACTCCTGTAATGACACACACGGTGCTTTTTGAAGGTTCAAAAATAAACAAAATATTTTATTTAACTTGGAAGGGAAAAGGTCAAGTCGAATCAGGGGTAGGATGTAAGAGGCAAACCAATAATAAAAACTGAGGTAACTCTGTAATCACACTTGAATGGGGATCTTCTGTGATCCTCTTACTCTCCTTTGCCTCCTTCCCAGTCCTCATTCAGTGCTAATCTGTCTCTTCCTCAGTTGTCAGTTCCCACCCATCATTTCTTAATGGTCCAGTCATGCTCCCCACAGAATTCCATTTGAACAGTCTGTCATTCAAAGGTTCTCAGACTCTGTGAGGTATTAACCCTTGACAGTCTGTCACAAGTGTCTATTAAGGCCTTAACTGTTTTGACATCTTGCTTAGAGAATGCCCCTGCTGTAAGCATTTGCCAGGCTGGTACCAAATCTGATGATACTTTAGTCCCTGGCTGAATCTGTTACTTTTTATTCCAGGACTTTGCTAATAAGTTTTAGTTTGTTTACCTTCACTTTGTACTGTTTCTATTCTTATGTACTACTTTTATCCTTTTACTGCTGGTAATTATATCATTCTTCTAATTTTATTGGTTTCAATCTGATACTTCTGCTTGATTTGTGTCCAGAGTTGGCAGCACCCAACCTGCCCTTCCCCCCACCCCCACAGCTTTGGCAATACCCAACCTCCCCCCCCCCATGGCTTCAGCACCAAGCCCATCAGCCTTGCAGTTGAGCTGGACGCTCTCACAGCTAGACGCAATACCACATGAGCCCTTTCTTTTCCCCCACTTACCTACCACAGGCACCAACTGGGGAGGCAGAGGTGGCAGGGATGCCACAGAGTGCTCTGGGCTCCTCAGTGAAGGGCAAGCCCCACCAACCCTCTCGGAAGCCTTGGGGCCATGGTCACCAGCAAGTGAGGTCATCACCTGGCACCATGGCTGATGCAGGGCAGCAGGAGGGGGAGAAACCTCAGTGGAGGCTGTCTGTCAAGATGGTGTTACACGGATTGCCTGGGGTTCTTTATACACTATGTATACAAGGGTCAAATTGCGAGAGATACCAGTGGAAGGAAGAAACCTCTGACTGAATAAATGGGGTTTTATTATGGATAAATGCAAAGTTCACACAACACACTCATACAAAAATAATAACAATAGGTCAACATACACAGAGCTAGGAAATAGAGAGGTGATCGATAGTGACAAGGAGGGGGTTGATTTTAGATTAGGGCAATATTCTCCTGATCTTGAAGTCTGGAATCCACATGGAAGAAGAGAACACGGCTGACCAGCAGTTCGTGTCAAAGGCTCAGACAGTGTCTGAGGATACACTCTTGTGGGTGCCTCAAGAGCTGTACAAAAATTAAGGCGCAGAGTGCCAGTTTAAATGTGGTTTGGGGAGCCAGGGCTGGCGCAGCCAAGGGTGTAATGAGTAGCCAGATTAAAAATTGAGTACATGCAGGATGCTTGGTTCCACCAGTGTTTGTCTTTCTATGTGTCAGTGGCTCGATGTGGAATGGGGAAGGGTGCTGGACTTCTGGAAATGACTTCCAAGAGACGGTTCAGTTTATTAAAGTGATGCCAAGGTGATGCAAAGATGGGATTGGGGATTAGAAGGACGGCCAGGCTGGCTATCTCTGTTGATTGAGGTAGTCATGAGCAATGCTCCCTCTAAGCTGTGGAGTCCTGTGAGCAAAAGTTCTACTTTGTGAGCTGGTGGTATTAAAGTTGTGAGCGAGCGATTTGGCTCCTGCATAAATTCGTTTGCTCTGGAGCCATCCTTCCTGAGCTAAGACAAAAATGGGTGAGCTGGAGGCTAAAAAACTGTGAGCTAGCTCACACTAACTCAGCTGAGAGGGAACACTGGTCATGAGATCCTGTATACGTGCTTGCTCACCAGGCTCCTGTTTGGCTCGGTTCCTCCTGAACCTGTCAGGCTAGTTCAAATGGAGTATTTTTCTGGCTCCATGTTGCCTGCCTATGACAGAACAATGTGAGGTGTGGGACCCTGGTCTTACTACCCTTTGAGCTGCTGGGTCCCTCCAAGGTTTTGGGGGAGAGCACGTTTAATACAGGTATATAGGGGGAAGGTAACAATGGTGGTCCTTAGCACCAAGAGCAGTGGCCTAGCAGAGACAGCCAAGGCCAGGGACTGGCCAGACCATAGCCCCATGGAATACCCAGGTGGCCAGGAGATAATGCCCCCATAGAAGGTTCTGCACAAATGTGGCTAGGAGGGCTGCTGGCTGGGTTGGAGAGGGCACTTTAAAGTGGTGGTACTTTGGCCCCTAGCCCCCGTGGTTGCCCAGTTAGTGAGGGCAAGGCCTGGGGATGGGGTTGGAGTCCTTGAGGCATCAGGGAAGGTATTTGGGGAGGCTCCACTGCTAGACCAGGGAGGAAAAGAGAAGGTACTTGCCTTAGCTAAAGGAACAACTTCTCGGAGGATAAAAGGGCAGGCATAGGTACTATAACCCTTGTTCCTATCCCCTTCACGGCAGCTCTGAGGCCGGAGGGTGCCCCAAAAGGGCAGGATGGCATGCTGGTTCTATCCCCTTTTCCTCCAGCAAAGGAGGACCCTCACAGTTATATTTCTTGAATTGGTTTTATTGGTTTGGATCGTACTACTCCACTCACCTAAATGCGGAGGCTTTCTCCAGCAGAAGCTCTTCTCTGAAGGAAAGTTCTTTGCAGCTGAACAAAGCAGTGAGTTTTTATTGTTTAACTGTATTAAATTGTACACCATCTCTGGAAGCTTTTTGAGAATGCAGAAGTATTTTAAATAAATAAATTCAGACAATTTAGTGTGTCTTTTTTACAATCTATGTAGCACAAGCACATTCATCACCATAAACTCCAAACCTAATAGTTATTCTGTCTGTCTAAACCATTATAGTAGTAGTAAAATATCCAAAACTTGTTGGCTTCAAAGAAGAATTGAATACCTTTATAGAATACAGTTGACAATTCCAATTTAGTGTCTTAGATGTCAACTTCAGAATTAGAAAGTGCCTTTCTCTTCTCAGATACTGTGATCTGTTTATCATTCTCTTAGGGCTGAACTACGTATTACTTGGGAGATTCGTGATCCTTCTCCCTCCCATGGTTATAGTTCATTAAAAAGTAAATGGCAGGAGATTCAGTCACAGCTTTCCTGAATAATCTGTAGTGTGGCCCTGAGGCATAGAAACATAATGCTGGAAGGGATCCCAATGGACATCTAGTCCAATCCCTTACACAATGCAGGAAATTCATAGCTACCTTCCCCCCTACTCCCCAAGTGACTCCCGTTCTATACCCAGAGGAAGGGGGGGAAACCTCCAGGATCCTGGGCTAATCTGGCCTGGAGGAAACTTCCTTCCTGACCCCAAAGTGGTGATGAGACCAATACTACTTCAGGTGGAACCACACCTTTGCTAGACAAAATTGAGTGGTATTGATCAATGAAATTGTTAAAGGCAATCTAAAGGGTTTTTTTGTTCCAGCCTAATAATGTGACTCTGACCAAGAAATTCGAAATGTCTGATCCGGATTCACGTCAGTCATGCACTTTGTGGCAACTTGACCTATGTTTATATAGAAAAAAGATAAGGAAGACATGGGCATTTAATTATTTTGAAATAAGTGTTATGTCGTACTGCAAAATTGGTGGTGTTTCCTTGTTCTGTGAAGTTGTTGCAACCCTGCTTGTGGATGTATTCAAGTAATTTATGTTGGAATTAATTTTATTTATGTAAAACTTGTTCCAAAATACTCATATATATGCATAAACGTATATGCATAGTTGTTATTGGCACTGACTGATAATTTTGTACTTATCACTTTAACTAACAGGGCTTATTTGGCTACATATGCACTTGCACTGTGTTCTCATTGTTGCTTTGTTAAGTTCATAGTGAGTCACAGAATTGCTGTCAGATGGTCATCTAGCCTGTGCTTAAAAACTCCCAAAGAAGGAGATCCCACCACCTCCCAAGGAAGCCTGTTCCACTGAGGAACCACTCTATCAGAAAGTTCTTCCTAATGTTTAGCTGAAAACTCTTGATTTAATTTCAACCCATTGGTTCTGGTCTTACATTCTGGGGCAACAGAAAACAACTCTGCTCTATCCTCTATATGACAGCCCTTCAAATATTTGAAGATGGCTATCATATCACCTCTCAGCTGTTTCCTCTTCAGGCTAAATGTAACCAGCTCCTTCAGCCTTCCCTCATAGAACTTGGTCTCCAGACAGAGGCGCCAGAGATTATGAAGAACACAGGAACCTTGGAGAGTCTTAGGCCACGTTCAGACTGGCAATTTGCCCTGCTACAGCCATGTTTCAGCAACGTTTCCCAAGCGGATGAAAGAGGGCATTCACACAGGCACATCTGCCTGGCGTTCCCCACCCGTAGGCAACCCGTGCTGTTCCACTTCGCTCCCATGTTAAAAAGATACCTGACAAAAGTGGTAGCAAATCCCAGAGAGTGCCTTTATCTTGCGTTATTCCGCTTCCCGGAAGTGTGAACGCGAAGCCAAAAAGCCGGGAGCGACCCCCTTCTACAGTGTGCGCCGGGTGTTTCTGCGCATAAGGCAGCAGCAACCGGATTGGCTGTGCTCCGCTCTACCGCCCATGCGCCCATACACACATAGAGGAAAAAGCCGTTTACAGCCGTGTCTCCGGGCCAGCAGTCTGAATGCCTCCTGGTATGCTCTTGCATCTGTCGGCCCGTGTGACCAGGAAAACGCGAAACAGTTTATTCCAGGGCTTTTTTGCCATGACTGGCTCCCGCTGCAAATTGCCAGTCTGAACTCAGACTTAGTGGTTGTGTTTTGCTTCATGCTCAATAACTATTGAATGGGCATGTTTGAGCTCTCCAATAAATCAAATTGGTTAGCACCCAGAAGACTTCTTAATATTCCTTGGTAGCATGTGCTTGCCTGACTTAATTGAGTTCTTAGCTTTGTTTTGCTCTGTGGTCAGGCACTGTGGTGAGATTATATGTTTTTGCTCTTGCTTGCTGTTTGCATGTACATTATAATGAACTATGTGGGTTAATCTGGGAGAAGGGTGGGGAACTATATGGAAGACCCTGCAGTAGGTAGAACTAGCTGTCTTTCTAGCCCTTTCCAGCCTTATGATTCTTTTCTTCCCTTCCTCCTCCACTTTTTCTTGAAACTGTCTTTGCTAAGTGTGTTTGGTGTTCAGTAGTTGATGAAGGTCTCTAAGAAAGAAAAAAAACTCACAAATGGCTTATCTTACTTTGAAACAGGTAAAGACCAACGGAGCTTAAACTTGGTACTGTCTTCTTGCCTTGTGGACCTTTTTCAGCATCCCTGCAACAATAAAACCTGTAGCCAGGCTAGTATTCATTTTGCTGCTGTGTCTGATTTCATTCAAGATGGGGACACAGTAACCAGGATTGTGGTGGACCCTATCATTAGTGACAGTTTTCTGTGGAATAATTATGTGCCAGAAAGCACTCAGGTAAAAATTCATTCTATTCTGTCTTGATTTTGAAAAATAGTTCTAAGCCCATTGAGGTCATTGCACATAAAAGTCTGAAACTGTTTAGGATTGCACTGTCCGTCACTACTCTTTGTAAATTTTTAACTAGTAATTGTTTTTACCATTTATATGGCATTCTGATTTGCACAATGTGTTACTATTATTATTGCACTGGACTGCACAGTAACTCAGAGAGAAGGCACTATTTATCTCTTTGGGGGACTGACTTAGCTCAAGACTTGCTATAAATTCACACATTATCAAATTCTCATTTAAAAAAAAGGAAACATGGATTTTGGCTGTACACTATCATCTGTGAAGATGGTATATCTGTGTATTCTGCTACATGATACCTGAGATGGAAGATTTATATATGTGGAAGAAGTTTGTTTGAAGTATCCCACAGTCCATTGCCGCGATGGGGCTTGAAATTACATCTCTTTTACATCTCAGTTTGGCCCTGAGTCTGCCACAGTGTTGTGGTTTCATTTTAGGGCTTGTTTTATTCAACTTTTGAAAATGCTGGGGGGGGGGTCCCAATCCTGCTGGTAACCATGGCACAGGGGGATGAGGGGCTGTTGTTCCCCCTCCCCACATGCCATTTTCAAGAGTTGAAATGGGTTGACAGAATCCAGTAACTGCAGCAAAAATCCAAGTTCTAAAATGAAGCCCTATCCCTGTGGCAGACTTGAAGATGTGATATCATCTAGTGTGGCCCTTAGATATAACAGATGTAGTTTCAAGTCTCATCTCATATATAAATAATCCAGGGAATACTCCAGGAATAATCAGCACAAAACAAAAGTTAGCACATCAAAAACTGTAAAATTTAATCAAAATATTAAGCCTAGTGAATGGGGGGAAATAATTCAGAGCTGAAATATAGTTGCATATTAACTTGTTTACCTGGTATTTTATGGTTCTGTTGTTTTAAATTATTTTAATAGTTGTTTTAATGGTATTTATTACGATTGATGTAAACTGCCCTGAGCCTGCCAGTGGGGAGGGTGGTATATAAATAAATAAATTTTAAACCTCATAATGCAAAACCAAAACACCCAGGAAACTCTGATAAAAAAGGCTTGCTGGTTATCGCCAAGAGTTGCAATCCTTGTAAAAATAAGTTTCCTTCTGTAGAGTACAGAGTGTCATTTCCAGATCTAATTTTGGTTATGGTCTTCTGATTTCCTTATTAGAAATTTCTGATTATTTAGTATTATTATTATTTCTGATTATTTAGTATTATTAAGGTTAGTTAAACCACTTTTAATAACTAAAATACCTATACGTGCAAGTCAGTTATTTATGTCTGGATCAGTGCGTGAGTATATGAAGGATTCCTTATCAGCATGTTTAATCAAGTAATTTACAGCAATCATAATGTCCCATCTGCATTCTTTTCTGAAGGTTACCGTGAAGGATTTGCCCTCTGCTTATTGCTACTCTTTTACTGACCCACATATCATTACATTTGATGGCAGGTAATTAATGGGATTTCCTACTGTTTGTTCAATTGTTTTTTAAAAGAGTGTATATAACTACAGCCATCACTATTAAGAACCACTTTTCATTTGTTTTCATCTGTTTTTCTAATTAAATTGCAAAATGGGAGGAAAATGCTTTCCCTCTAGTACTTGCTTCAGTTTAATGATGCTGGTTGTTATATTTCTAAGGGGAAACTGTTTTCTTTCAGTGTGTGACAATGAGGTGTAGCCAGTGGAAATTATGTCTTTTGAACAATTCTGTAAAATGTGTCCCTTGATGAGAGCAATGGTTACACTGGACACTCTATAGGCACAACACATAGCCAGGGACAGCATATGCTTATTAAAATCCATACCAAGTGAGCATTGACTAGGCAAAGCAACAATGCCAGATTTTATGCAGCACAATTGCCTAGCAACTCTGTGAGATTCAGCTAAGTGCAACATGGCTTGATAGTATTTGTAGCAGCCATTTGTATTGTCTTCCCATTGGAAAAAATAATCTTTAACATCGACCCATCAAGAAATCCTTCTAGTGAAGTATTAAGGGAAAGAATATCATAGGTGTAACATCATCCTTCTCAACTATCTTCAGGAAAACAGTTGAACAGTAATTCTTCTCCAGTGGATTGGATCTAGCCTGATTTTTCACTCAGTGTCAACCCCATTCCCCCTTTTTCTTCAAGTCCCATTGGTCATGACTTTTGTTCATGCAGGTCTCATGATCTTCGGCATAGCCCTTTTGGTGGCCCAAGGAGACCTCCCTTTTTCACCAGTGTAAAATATGTTTGGATTCAACACAGTTTATGGAATTCACAGACGTAGGTTTGTGTTGATGGCCGCCAGTTTAGATGGCTCGAAAAGGGGCTAGACATGGAGAACAGGTCTTTCCGTGACTATTAGTTATCATTTCTAAATAGATCCTCCATGTTGGAATGCCAGCTGTACTTCAGAATAGGGTCAATGGCATGTGGGGGGGCTGTTACCTTCATACCCTGCTTCTTGCTGTTCCTGTAGGGTTCTGGTTCATGTCTAGAAAACAGGATGCCTGACTAGATGGATCTGTGGTCTGACCCAGCGGGGTTGTCCTTATGTCCTTCAGAGTTGGGGTTCAGGAGCACATATTTTCTAAGAAGAGAATTTATCTACTTGCATATCTTTAATAATGGATGTCATGTGGTAGATCTGCTCTCTTCTGTAACAAGTCCCTGTAACATGTTATAGCAGATGCATGTCCACACTGGAGATCTCTTTTCTGCTTTGATGTTTTAGTACTAAACATGAAGTGTGAAAAGTAGCATCCCCTTTCTGCTCAAAGGTACAGTGCTTTTGTAATTTCTTGCTGTGTGGATCATGTTATACTTGTGGTAACCCTACAATTTCATCATCCTATCCTGATGGCTTTTAAACAAGTCGTTCATAAATGCCATTATGATGTTAATTTTTTTTAAAAAAAAAATCATATACTCTTTTTATTTTTGTCTCTAGAGCATATGACAATTTTAAAACAGGAACATTTGTGCTATACAGAAGTAACTTCCGTGATTTTGAAGTCCACGTACGTCAGTGGGACTGTGGAAGCCTTTATTACCCGGCATCATGCAACTGTGGTTTTGTTGCCAAAGAAGGGGCTGATATAATAGCGTTTGACATGTGCAGTGGCCAGCTTCGTGACTCACAGCCCCATTTATCCATAAAGAGCAGAGACTCTCCAGACAGCTATGTCAGGATCACTGAATCTTACCAAGGAAGGAAAGTCACAGTAGGTTATTGATTTTGTATCAGCTCTGGACCTGTTTCATTCAGGAGGGTTTTTTGTTGGTGGTGTTGTATTAGCAATATGTATGCATTCTATATCTTAACACTTTCTTACTATCTATAACAAAGCAGTCTTCCTTTTCTTAAAACCATTTTAGGATTTGAAACAGGTAGATAATTTAGGGAATATCATTAAAAACAAGAAGGACAGGGCAATAGATTCAGGTGGGTAGCCATGTTGGTCTGAAGTAGCAGAACGAAGTTTCAGTCTAGTGGCACCTTTAAGACCAACAAAGGCCCCTGCCACACGAGGGAAGAAAGGGACGGCCAAAGTGCGGCTTTTAAAAGCCGCACCTAAATAGGCATGCGGCGGCGGGATCATACAGATCCCGTGAGCCGCTGTGCATTTGCTCCCCGGCACGATCAGATGCCGGGGAGATGGGGAGAAAGGCACAGGAGTCTGCTGAACTGCGCATGTCGGAGCATGCGCAGTTCGGCAAGGAGCCGGGGATGCACCGGCGAAAGAACGCGCCGGCGATCCCATGGCCAGCGTTGCTGCGGCCGTTCGACAAGAACCACCTCGGTAGGTGGTTCTTTTTTTGTGCGGATTATCGCTGGAAGGGCCGGATCGGGGATGGACACGGTACGCTTCCCAGATGTTGCAGTGGGATCGCACCCATTTGCTCCGCCCCCGTTCCGTCCCTCTCCCGGCCCTAATTCTCTCGTGTGACCGGGGCCAAAGTTTTATTCTAGCTATAAGCACTTGTGAGCATGCACGCTTCTTCGGGCAGGACAGGAAAAGGAACAGAAGAGAATGTTAAGCTGTGACTATACCAGCTTAGCTTTTGCTTAACATAGGAGTCAGTGCAGTCTACACTTTCTTCCATTTCATGTTACTGATTTCCTTACTGAGCATTTCATTTTCGTTCCATATGAAAACTGTACCTCCTGTAAGAGGTACCAGAGATTTCCATTTTATTTTATTGATGTATTTTATTGATGCTTTTTCCAATCATTATCCCATCATTGCTTTTTCATTATTGGGGCTGTTTTGTAAAAGTTGATTTTGTACATAGCTGCCTGTTCTCATCATATACTTACTGACCTGCTATTTCCTTTGGAAAGGTGTAGTGGGCTGTTCCTGATCTTGCACAGTCATGGAAACATAATAGTTTTATAGGCTTATTTGACATCTCCCCTTAAAACAGCATTGTTTATTGTGGCATCTGCATCTTGCCTTTTTTTAGTCCATAAAGCAACTTGCAGATACCAAAATCACTACCAGTTAATGGTGTGCATAATAATGCAAAGGGATTTTATTTATTTATGTTATTTATAGTCTGCTTTTCTCACTGAGACTTAAGGCAGATTACCCAATGTAAATCAATGCAGTCAATAGGATGAGACATCAAATAAACAATGTAATAGGACTGGGGTTGCAGAAATGTGTAATGAAGCATAAATATTAAACATGACCTGTTAAACAAGCAGAAAATGGTATTACATAAGTAGAAATACAATCCCCATATACAGTAGATAACATATACCATATGCAGTAGTGAAGTCCACAAACCTGTTCCCTTCATGGTGGATTCTGAGGTAAAATATGTCCTCACTCACAACACATCACTTCCCCTTCAACAGAAACAAACCCAATAACACAATCATGCCACACCACAAAAAAGACAGATCACACCACAAGCAGAATACCACAAGGCAAAAAATGATAGAAAAAGGTGCCAGCAGTCACCCCATTACTGCCACAGATACCAGAGAGCGCTTCAGAGGATGGTGTGCAGATCCCAGGTTCATGTTTTAAAAGCTGCCTGGGGGATTATGGACCATTCACACACTTTCAGCCTTAACATACCTCATAGGTTAGTTGTGCGGATCATACGGGGAAGAGGAGAATGATGTCAGCTGCTTTGGTTCCTACTGCAGGGGAAAACTGCCCTTTCCCTTGTCAGAGGCTGAGGGGGGGGGGAATGAAACCTGAAGACAGGCAGGCAGATAAAGGTAGGCTGATGGTTACCTGGAAAGGACATAGGGTTTCCAGGTTGGAAACTTCCAGGATATTTTAGGGACCAAGCCTGCTGAGGGGGGGGGGTCTGAGGAAGAGGAAGAGGGGGACCTCAGACAGATACAATGCCATACTGCCCACACTCCAGACAAGCTGTTGCCAGTCTCCAGGTGACAGCTGGAGAGATCTTAAAGCTATTTCAAAGTGTTGCAATTTATTGACAGAGTAGTGTTTTGGAAAATCTTGAGGAATTGTTTGGTGCATTTACGATGGGGCTCCTGGGGAACTATTGTTGCCAATCTTGGCCCAGCAGCCATCAAACCATTCTCTTCAACCCCCTGCTGTGCAGCTGACTTCCCCCTAGGGTTGCCAATCTCCAGGTGGGACCTGGAGATCTCCCACTGCTACAATTGATCTCCAGATGACAGAGATCAGTTCCCCTAGAGAAAATGACTGCTTTAGGAGGGTAGACCCTATGACATTATACCTGCTGAGTCCTTCCGCCCCCCCCCCGCCCAATGCTGCCCTCTACAGAATCCACCCCCCAAACCTCCAGGTATTTCCCTCCTTAGAGCTGGCAACCCTACATTCCCCTCAGTGCCTGTTGGGAGTGGGTGGTGGGGGAGGGGAAGGGAGTGGGCAACCGAAGGCTTCTGCCTCCTGTCTCCGGTCCTGGAGTGGGGGTGGTGG